TGTTCAATTAACAATTTTAATTAAAAAAAAATCTAAATAATTTTAATTTTTATTGAGAAATAACTTACAATTTTGTGTTTTATGTTATTGGTAGAAAAAAACTGAACGTTTGACTGTTCTAAAATTTATTATAATTTATTGATAGTTATTGAAAAAAATCTAAAAATATGTGTTTGAACCTTGTTTCAAGTATATTGTGACAAAGAACATAAAAATGTATAAAAATATAAAAACAAACTTTAAATAATTTTCAAGAAGAAAAAACAGACTACACAACAATTATAAATAATTAATAATAATTTAAAAAAAAAATAGATATAGTGCATTATTATTACTTTAAATTAAAAAAAAAATACTTCTAATCAAATTCTAAATTATTAGTTTTAAATTTAATGAAAATAATATTAAAATTAAAAAAAAACTCAATTAAGCATTCAAAAGTATATATCAACTAATTTAACAAAATAAAATATAACTCTTAATATAATAAAATTTTGTGATATCAAAAGTGTAATACAAAGAAAAAAATAGTAATGTAAATAACTTAAAAAACAGACCACAAACATTACAAACGAAAATAAACTAAAAACTGACGAGTAAGCAGCCCTTGACGTTTAAGCCCAACCACGCAACGATATTTTCCGCAAGCAAATTTTAAGAGACCAGAAGCGCAAAAGAAAGAATAACGCAAAACAGTAACAAAAAACGGCACAGACTTCAGAAGAAAAGACGCGCCCAGACAGAGGCTGAACACGCCAAAAAGGCATGATCGCCAATGTGAATTGAAAGCGTGCGCGCGACAACTTCACCACTTCCACTGATATCTGCGCACAAAACTACACAATTAATCAATTTGTAACTTCAACGCAGAAAAAAGTGGAAAAATTACAACAAATTCCAACGATACGCCACCACCAGTGGACAATTAAAGTGCACACATGTCAATAGAGACGAAACGACAGCCAACAAGTCAAGCGGCAAGTGAACGCAGCATACAATAAATTGGCGAGAGCAGATAACTCGTGCAGCGCGCGATACTTACAACAAAGTAGCCGACAAGCAACACCAACAACAAACAAAATATATAATGACTTGTGGAAACACCAGTGGCTAGCTTGCATGATTCAAAACATTCGTGTGTGTGTGTGTKTTTGCGCCAATATATGCTTAGCGCAGTAACAAAAAAGAAAGAAGCCAAATCAACGGTACGTCGACTCATCAGCGCACACATACAAGCTATCGTGGGAATTTTTCAAGAATCACTGGACTTCATTATACAGACGAACGCCTTGTAGCAACTAAAGCGCTGCATGCTTGTGAGAGCGCGCGCATAAATTTTGAGCATCAACTTGCTGCTCAATGTGCTCAGCGCGCTCTGTGAAACGCAAAATCACGAAAAGTGCTGCGTAACAGCGCAGCAGTACGCTTTATAAAAGCGGTAGTGAGCGCAAGTGATACGGCGTTTTCTACCTGTTGGGCGCGAGTGCGAGCGCGATCAACGTCAAACAGCCACCCACTTGCGCGCTCAGCTGTTTGCCAACACTGCGATCGCATAGCGGCGCTCACATTGAAAATACGAACAACGCGTCGCTCGCAAATTCGTGCGCTGGGCAATTGGTTATATTACATGGCTAGCGCGCGGCGACCGCTCTACAGTTTTGCTTGAAACGTTTTGGAGTGCAGTTCGTTGAAATTGCCAAGTGAAGAAATTCGAAAACGGTCAAACGCGAAACATACGATTCGCAAAAGCAGCAAAAAAAAAAAAACAAGTACAAGAAATTTTTATTATTTGTGCAACTGAATGCTGAGTAAATGTGTATAAAGTGTAAACGCTTAGCAGCGTTCAGTTGAATCGTTAAATTTTTACCAATAATCTTCCAAGTGTTACAATATAAAGCGCCAACTCATAAACGCCAGCTGCAAGTTGAGAAAAGTTTGCCAAGCCAAACGCCAACGAACAGCCAACTGGAATTGTGAAACAATGAATTTATATTTTGTTCAACAAAAAATTGCGTGAAATTGTGTTTAAAAATTCGGCAATCTTGTGGCGTGTGTAGACAACATCACAAAAAAAAAAAAAAAAGCAAGAAACAAATGCAAACGCTCGCACTAACAATAAGCGCTGGCAAAGCGGCCGAAAGCAAAATGCGCAAAGCGACCAGTAAACTGGTCATAAAGTGAACGCGCCTGTGAATTGTGCATAAATTTGAAAACAAGAAAACGACAAAGCGCAAGAAAAACGATTTTTAGTTAAATTTGTATAAAATCCCCGCAAGCCAACAACAGTCCAAGTGAGGTTGAGTGTGGCGCGCAAAAAGTTGAAAAATAAACATAAAATATAATAATAAATATAACAAAAAATATACATCTACATATATGTATAGTTCTTATATGCAAAGTTTAAAAGTTGTATAAATTTAAGTCACAGCCCGCAAAGCAGACGCGTACGCGCTAGACATTGAGGAGTTTCAACACTAACGCGCGGCAGTGACTACCAACTTGAAATAACATTTTTATAAAAATAACTGCAAATCATACAAAAAAGTATAGCAAGTGATTACAAGTGCTGGAAAAGTGTGCAATTAAAGCGCTAAACTCACACGCGCAGTCACTAAGCAGAGTAGTTAGCCAAAGGCCAACTAACCTTTAACCAATACCAAAAACAAAAAATAAAAATAAAAAAAAAACACGCACTGACTAAGCGGAAAACAGCAAAGTAATGGTGTAGTTGTTGGCGCATGAAAACTTTCCGCTACAAAAACAAGAAAAAAGAAGAAAAGTGAAGAAAGTGCAACCGCCCGTGCGTCACTAGACAGATCACGCAGTTCAAAAGGAGTGACCAGGCGTGAAAAATCGCGAAGCAAAAACGCACCGCGCGAGAGTACAAAAACTAACAGACGAGTGTGATTATTTGGAAAAAATAACAGTTAAACGTTTTTGCCAGTTCCCTGTAATGTGCGACAGGCCCCTGCGCGCCGTGCAAGCAAACGCTGACTAAGCGCCAGCAACAAAAACAGTTGAAAGTGAAAATTTGCAAGTGAGGACTAGCGCAGCGCGTAACTTTTTAGAACGTCGCACGCGCGCGCGCACGCTTTGTTTCTATAAACACTGCATTGTTGTTGTTCTTGTTAAAACGTGTACAAATGCCGCGTCAGCTGCCAACACACAACAGATTTACAACATTTAAGCAAAAACCACAAAAGCGAAAACATTACAGAGCGTTAAAAAATAAAAGTGAACATTTTCTGTGCAGCTGAGTACCAGTGTCTACAAGAAACCCGTTGATTTCTTACAGCGCATGCTAAACGCTCACACCCGCCGCTACAACAAATAATGGCCATAGATTTTCTAATATTCGCGCTATTGCTGTTCTCGTTCGTCATCAATTTGCTGGCTTTGGGCGCGTTCTGGGTGACGCCCGGTCTGCGCACCACAGCCAATCGTTTTACCATCAATTTGCTGGTGATCAATTTGATCGGCTGCCTCATACTGGCGCCCACACTATTCCTCAGTCAGGCAACGCGTCGCGTCGCTAGCAAGGATGCCGCCGCCACTGCTAATGCGTCCACATTGTCACTGGCCGCAACGGCGAGCGATGATCGCATCGAGATACTCGCCAAACCGGGTAATCGCCAGTTGACCATCAAGCATAATGGCAAATTGGTGGAGCAGGAGGGCGTTATTGTGCGGCGTAATTTGACGAGCGCACACGACGCGCGCACCATTGAAACAATTTACAAGTGCAATTCGACTTATTGTCAGGAGTTGACAATCGATGAAGGCACCGATACAATTGTTATCACCGAAATCGAAGAGGCGAATCATCATGCTGAGATGGCGAGTGCAGCGCCTATAGATGTCGTGGCAGCGCTGCTGCCGCGTCCACATATACGTTGCTGGTCCATCGATATGGCGGCCGCTTTGGGCGCGCTGGGTGTGCTGCTTGTCGTCGGCGATACTTGGTGTGCCGTCACCGATCCGCTGCGCTATCATACGCGCATATCCAGTTTGAAGACGTGGATATTTATTGCGCTCACTTGGGTGGTGGGTTTGATGTTTGGCGCGCTATCTGCCTTTCGTGAAATCGATTTCACCACCAAAACTGTGCTGCACGAGCAGCAAGGATTTGCGGAAATGAGTTTGAGCTCCGCGAATAGTATTTTTGGCATTAGCTTCGCCTGCGTTTATTTCGTCATCATCATATTGCTGCCGTTCGGCTTCGTGTGTGGCATGTATTGGCGCATATTTAGCGAAGCGCGTGAAAATGGCTTGCGCATGCGCCAGAATGGTTCATCACCGCTGTTGCAAAGCGCGCTCAATTTGACACATCATCAGCAAAGCTCATCGCTGCAGTATGCGAATATGTGCGCACATCGCAACTCCGTTTCGTCGGCGTCATCGAATGGTGGTGGCAGCGCTTGTGAACGTGGCGGCCTACAAATGCAGATTGATCATCGTAAAAGTTCGCCTGTGTGTGTGCGTCGCGATTCCGCCGCCAAAGTGCTGTTGCCCACCATCTCCGATGATGGTTTGTCCGATGAAGCGGCACAACTCGAATCCGGCGATTACAATGCCGAACCGCTGGTGCCACTCACACAGCAACCCAACTATGCGGATCGTAATCAAAATATTCTGCTGACGCTACAAGCTGCGAGCGGTGAAATCAAGCGCAATTATTCGGCACGCCAGCTGCCTTTGCTCGGCACATCTTCGCAGGATTTGCTGGACACGAACAGACTAGAAGGTGTACGTCAAGTGCACTCTTCGCCCAATCTACATAAGTATACACAAGATTCGCTGGAGACCAGCTGTTCGCCACACCTGTTGGGCCATGCAGAGTTGCATCCGCACGAAACCGCCACCAACAGCACCACCGCCGGCATACGCCAACAACATTTTGTGTCACCGAACGCACACAACCGCCAGCACTCGCACGTGTTGCAAATACCTTGCCTGCCGCATAGCTCACCGAAAGCGCTTAGCTACATGTCAACGCTACGTCATCGCCTTTCGAACGCCTCATCGCTCTTTAAGTATCGCGAGGAGTCGCGCACGGTGCGCATCAGCATTTTAGTGATCATTATGTTCCTGGTTTCGTATTTGCCTTTCGGCTTCCTGGTTTTGCTGCAGAGTCGCCTGCCCAGCGCCAACTTTGAACATTCCACACAGCTCGCCATCTTCATGCTGCTGCTGGGCAATCTTACGTCACCGTTCATATTTGCGTATCGCAATAAACGCGTACGCCGCGGCGTTAAACGGCTCTTCGGTTTCGAAGTCAGCACACGTGAGCGTTCGCTGCAGCGTCAGAGCAGTTCCAGCGGACGTGGCAGTGGCTTTCTCAATCGTCATTGCGCAGGCACGCGCAACGGCGCCAACATTCGACGTAACATCAGCAAAGTATCCACATATTCGTTGAACTCCTGTAAATTTCTAACACCACAGAATTCGCTCAGCAGCGCCGTTGTGCCGCCAGTAGCAACGGCCGCCAACCGTCACAGCAGTCCCGCGCGCATACATGGCCTGCGCCCGAACAGCAGTTGCAGCACTATCATCAATTTCGGCGCGCCACCAGATAAAGAGCAGGCGCTGCCAACGTCACAGCAGCTGCAGCAACAGCAAACAACAGCAGTAGAGGCTACACCAAAGACTGCAAGCAAGTCATGTGACACACCTACCGCTCTCAAAGCCACATACGTATTGAACATGAATGGCATTTCACCGAATGGCACCGCGCGCATTAGTGAAGCGCTGCCAGCGGCGAATGGCAAATTCACGCCAAAGCGCAGTCTATTTAAGATCTTCTTTCAAGGTTCAAAGAATCTGGGCTGCGCTGCAGCACAATCATGCGCGCAAGGCAAAGATGCAGAAGTGGAGCCAGCCGACGTATGAGCTGTGCAGCAGCAACATAGCCTTGGCAGGAGGCCTAGCGAAAGTCTAAGGTACAGCGTCGCCGACAGCGTATTAGCACAATTGCTTGTGTCAATCATCAGCTTAGCTATGTTATGTACCAAGCCGATATTGAGAGGCGCATACAGCGGTCTACGCAACGCAGACACGAATGTGCAGTCCATAAACGGCCGGCAGCTGACAAAGCAGTAAATCGAGTGCTACAGCAGTCCGCAAATGGACACCGACATAGTCGTCAACACAATAGCAGCAGCAGCAACAACAAATGACAGCATAGCGGTAAGCGCATTGCAGTCAAACCAGCAGCAACCAGTCAGTATTAAGTATATACTTTAAACACATATATATACATATGTTTTTTATGTGCTAATAGATTCTAAATATGCTAGCGTTTGTTTGAAAAAATTCTATCATGAAACCACGAGCTTTGTTAGTGGGCGTTTTAAGCTGCCGCGCGCGCCAGCAGTTGAATTTATAGCAAGTTTGCATACATAGTTAGTTGTGTATGTGTCCAAAATTTATATTATAGCAGTTTTTTTCCGAAATTAAAAACTTAAGAAGGCCAAAATATGGGCTTGAGCGCGAAAAGTGTGTTACAAATGTTAAATTTTACCAATAAGAAAGTGAGCTTAAGCAGATTACACAATTTGAAATTGTAATTGAAATAATAAAATCATGCAAGGTATAGAGTATTAGAAATTTGTAGCTAACTTTTGCCCAAATTGTAACCGAATTGTATACAAATTGTGACTAATTCATAAACAAAATATATCTAAATCTTATCAAAATTGTATATACTTGTAGTACTTTGTATCAAATTGCATTTGTTTGAGCTGAAATTGTAACTACTTTGTATCTAAATCTGTTAATTGGCACAGAAATTGGATATGTTTCGTACCGAATTTTGTGAATTAGTACTGAAAATGTTGTTATTTGTAGCCAAGTTATTTTGATTTTCAATAAATGTTTTTCCTCACCTAAAATATACCGAAATTGTATCCAATTTCTATTCATTTCGTATACAATTTATACCCAATTTGTACCGAAAATGTTGTTATTTGTATCCAGCTTGTTTTAATTTTCAACAAATGTTTTTCCTTACCTAAAATATACCAGAATTGTATCCAATTTGTATCCATTTCGTATCCAATTTATACCCAATTTGTATCGAAATTCGGTAAACAAAAAAAAAAAAATATTTTCCTTATTTACAAAAAAATGTAAAAATACATACTTAAAATTATGTATGTTTGCATAATTTCACTCTTTGTTTGGACTGCAAATGTGCTATGGCTACACAGCAAACAAAAGTCAAGCGCAAAATTTTATTTTGAAACATAAGAAAGGCGTTAAATTAATTATTTTTATTTGCTTACCTTTACTTCTGTATATTTTTTTAATTATTTATACAAGTGAAAGTGACCTAGAAAATTTAAAACTAAAATAATTTCCAAAAACATATAGAAATATATGTATATGCATGTACATATGTATGTAGGAGTATTAAAATCCATGCGAGCTAGAATTTATTTGTACTATATGTAAATAATGTCAAATTATATAAGTCATTTTAAATGGCAAGAACTAAACAAAAGTCAATATATATTTAGCGAAAAGAGAAAAAGTTAACGACTAAGCTTTTAACTAGCAGAAATCTTTAGAAAAAAATATTTAACAAGCGGAAAAGTTGGAATGTAATGTTAAGCTATGTGTTTCTAACTGTATATGCCTATATAAGTGAGACAATGCATAGGTAAAAGTCTAGATTAACGGTAAATACAGCGTAACACATAGAAGCTGCTGTCTAGAACATATTTACATTCTTACTACTTATGCATATGTTTATATATGTACTTATAGATATATACCAAATTTGCATATTTTGCTCCACTGTAGATAGTTAAGGTAGTGTATGTCTAGAAGAAAAGAAGAAAAGTAGTTTACGCTTCATTTTCAAATGATTAATTACAATAACTAAACGCTGTTATACAAACTTCAATTGAAATTTCCATTTAATGCAACCACAAAGCTTTAATTAAACTAGTAACATTCTAAAATTCGTAGCTAATTAATATACATTTACCGTATATGTGTATAAATAAATATTATATACATTGAATTATATTGTACACAGGTGTACATATGTACATAGAACGATGAACAGACACCCATTTGCATACAAGCAAGCAAAGAAACAAAGTAAACAGCACCGAAGTGGAGAACGGTACATTTTAAGCGCATAAAATAAAAGAACAAAAACATATGTGAAAACATTTAGTAAAATTTTTCACGCCTTGTATTCACTCAAATACATTAAAATTCTAATTCTACTTGTAATGGAAAATTTTCCGGTATTTGAGAGGAATATTAACAAAAAACATTATTGATCAATTAAATTTAATCAAAAAAGCTAACAAACACAAACAGCAGAGCTTTCATTTGTAATAATTTTTTGCTATAAATAACATTTTTTACTATAACTATATGATATAATTTTTGCAGTTTTTCTTTTCACAAAAGACAATTACTTTTCATACATTTTTTTGCTATAAATTTACAAAATTTATWTTTCATAAATTTTTACTACAACTTCTGTAATAATTCTT